CCTCTCTCTTTATTTTTTATTATTTCTCCGCCTTATTTTAAATTTCGGATCTTTCTCGGTCGCCCTTCGGAGTATCATCGTATAACATAAATTAATGTCAAAGATGAACATAAATTATTTCGCCTGCGATAAGCTAATAATATATACCGCTTTCAACATTCAAAATGGCGCCCGATGAAAATTGAAAACATTTACATGTAATTAAAAGGTTAGTATAAATTTACACAAATATTTCTGGCGTGCTCCCTTGGTCCGCAGAGCATTTTGCTTTTTAATTAAACTTAAAAATTCAAGGTACTTTTATATAATTAAGAGTCAGTTTCTCTATTTAACCGAACAGGCGAACAGCAAACAAAGATTTACAGTAATTAGTCAGTTCTGTGCACGGCTTGACTGCCAAGCTTTCTCAAGGTCTCAACTTGCTGGACGCGGATATACTCTAACCACTAACGGGCTAATAACAGCAACAATTAAATTCTCAATCATACCACGAAGAAGGCGATGTAGCTCAGAAAACAACGCCGGTAGGACCTGATATTAAAAATAAGACTTTTGCCGGCGAAGCAAGTCGGCAGAACATCTTGGCTGTATAACAACAAGCTTTCGAATACAGGACTAGTTTGGCTGTTCTTTCAGCGTTGTGTGTGTCCAAAATTCGTCAAAGATTTTGATGAAGCCCTTTCAAAATACTGTTTGTTTGGTTTATTTTCTTCCATAAAGCATAAAAGAAAAGAAATTCGAAGAAATCGATAATGGAATTTGTTAGTTGTTACGTCCGTTTGACCTTTATATTAATTCTCGCCTTGAGCGAGCTATTTTTAAAACTGTTGTTTATGTAAACTTGCAACCAATCAAAATCCTTCATGATGAATCCACCTGGTGGACGGGAATCCCACACTTTAGATAGGTTTTGTGTCAGGCCCTATTCTGTGATAGGGCCTGAACTTCAGGTTAAGGTCTAGGCTGCGTTTGCCCCAGACTGACACTCGATAAGGGACGGACCATTATTTTTTTTTTGGGGGGGGGGGTGGATGGACATTTCGTCAACGCAAACAATTTATTTCGGTTAACGTCGTTGTCGTTGCAAACAATTTTTTGCGCCTGCTTCCTTCTGCAAACAATTTTTTTGTCCATCTGATTGCTGTGGATTTCATTATAAATTGACATATATGGTTTAATTTGTGCCCAAATACATTATTGCATGTGTGAACAACATGTGGTGTTGTCAGAAGTATAAATTTAATAAGTAAACAGACATTTAATAGATTTTTTTGGTATACTCGTCAGGGCCTTTTTTAAGGATTTTCCCATGGGGTGGGGGGATTCTTTGAAAAGGGACCTCTCTGTGAGATAATATATTAGAGGAGGATAGGAATGGCTGAAGGCCACCTGTGTGGCCAACATACCACGCATGAATAGGGTAGGGGGGGGGGGGAGGTCTGGGGGCATACTCCCCCAGAAATGTTTTGAAAATTGAAGCCTGGAAATGCCATTTCCTGCATTCTGAGCATTTAAATTTGCTCTAAAATTTATGCTAAGTATACTTGTATTTAAAATAAAAGAAGGAAAAAATGCACAAAAAATAAAAAAAATATTAACAATAATTTATCATTACTTAGTGGTAGAAAAACGTAACAATTTAAATCGATTTTGTTGAACAAGGACAAAGCCAATAAGCGCAGAAGCCCTGGGTACGAGGTTGGGACAAAGCCTAAAATTTACTTTTCGTTTGTCTATTTGTTATTTTTTGCTGGTTTGTTTGTATAAATTTAGGAAGAAGGGACTTTTCCTGGGGGGAGGGCAAAATGTGATTTTGTGGGGGGCATAAGGGGGATTTGGGGGCATTTGCTCCCCCCGGCTTGTATGTTAATTAACACAAGGGACCTTAAGCATGTACGACGGCAACGCGACGACGACAGCCAAAACAAACTTCTTCAAATAAATTATTGCGAAAAAGAGTTGTTGTGTATTATCCACTACATGGTGTATATATGAACTGAGTTCAGTTCGGAGAAATTAAAACACAGGCTTTATTGTTAAAAACGCTTCTGCTGAGCAAATGTGTAGTTTCACTTGTCGCGTCTTGATATGTTTGCGTTATACACGAGACGTGAAAATCTCTGGTTTGCCGTTGTAAAAAGCCCTAACACAACGTCTCTAACTCCCGTGGGGCTATTAGTTATTCATTTCTTTTGTACGAGATCAGGAATGTCATTGTGTGAATAGCCGTCGCGGTCCTGTTTGCTTAAGGTCCCTACAATGTCTTACACCAGTACTTGTCCAATTACCTATTTTATAAAAAAAACCCCACAAAAAACCCCCAAAAGACAAAAAATGACTGTATTCAATAGATTAATATTTATAATCCATATGTAGATTGCGACATGTGCCCAGCGTCTCCCATCCCAGGGCTTTTGGGGTGAAGACCCTGGGTATGTCGGTGGGTGCTCTGTTCATTGTTATTAAACCTTGGTTGATGTTGCATAATCTCATTAGCTTGCAAACTATTTTTTTCCTCCTCTCTATGTGTGCAAACAATTTATTTGCACTTTTTTGTCTTTGCAAACAATTTTTTTAAGAATTTTCCATCCCCCCTCCAAAAAAATAATGGTCCGTCCCTAACCTCATCTTTTGTGTCACACGTTCCCACTGGTTTGCCCACATCACAGCCCACATGTATCCCACATTGCATTGCATACTGTATGTTTTGATGGATTGCGTGACGTAGCGGCAAGCGGGTACATTCCTATCATGCACCATTATTTTGTTTAATCCTCATTTGAGGGACTGGGTACGAGTCAGTGTCGGTACCACTTATTACGTCAGCAAGACGTGGCAAAATAAATGCCAACAAAGGAAAAAGGTCGCTTCGCGCGAAAAAATCGCTAGTCAGCGGAAAACCGGCTTAATAGTGGGGTGTCCGCAAGGCGAGAGTCGACTGTATCACTCTAAAACAACACACAACCACTCAAGATGAAAACACTCGCTCTGTTTCAAGCGAAATTTATTCAAGTTACATATTAGTGTTAAAAGAATACATACAACGTTAGTCAACATAATGTATATATTTCTGTTACAAAATTCATACGAGGCAGAACTTAAGTACATCGCATGGTAGACTTTCGCATGACGTCATTTTACTGCTAACAGCTAGCGGGAAATTCTGAGGCGTCCTTATATGGCAAGTCTAATCGCATGGTTGTTGCATGCAATGTTTTACAGAGAAAAATAAAAAGTCCCAGACGCATTTATATATACCAATAACATGAATATTTTTCTTGATGTGTTTAAATATGAGAATGTAATCTTGCTAACTGTTGTCCACTTGCAAGCATAGATACAGGAGGCATTGATCGGCAATACAAATTTATGAAGAAAAGCGAGGCGCTAACCAATACTTCCTGTATCTTTGCTATCGCTACAAACTTAAAGCTGATACCAAAAATATAAGGCTAGATTTATGGTACCACATTTAGTGCTAAAAAATAAACGCAGCAAGAGGGTATATATTGCCTGTCCCAGTTCTCTGATACGGATTTAATAATTTCCCAGCGGCGAATTGTTTTTCTCATTGATCATTTGCAGAATTACGTAAGTGTATACCATTACACACACTTATATAGCCTCGACTTTAATTATTTTGAAAACAGACAGAAACTTTTACCTTTGTGTATATTATAAAGAATGCATAAAATTCGAAAAGGCTAAGCGTGTATAATGATACCTCTGCGAATGGTCTGTACTGTTGTTAAGAAGGAATTGAGAGATTGTACGTTCAAACGCGTATCTTGACTCTTGACGTACGGTACACACTATACGTACATGCCTCAAGGTTTGTGTGTGTGTAGCGGGGTATACAAGACTTCTGCATCATATGCAAATAGACTGGCACTAGTCTGAATTATCACCATTAGGAGCAGCAAGAGCATGAGCTTCGCTGTCTAACTTTCGTGATAGATTTTCATCCAACATTGGTGAGGATTTAAAGTCTCCCAATTTCGCTAAAGGTAACTTATTCTGGTCAGTTCTTATCCAAGGTTTATAGTTTGGATTATTTTTAATTTTCCATCCTCTATAGTTTCTAGCGGCGGCAGCGAAATTAGCAATCACCTAAAAGAGAAATAAAGCTTGAGTTCATCTGACGTGCATATATTAATTACCGTTTGCTCCCAACTCTATAGTCTGCGAACCCAGACGTCATTTCCCACGCTCATTCTTCGCTCAGAAAGTAACGAGTTACTTTCGCAGACTACCTCCTCTGGGGGGGGGGGGGGTAAAAAGTCAGGGGTTTGAGGGAAGAAAGTGATCCTGAATCAGGAGATAAAACAAGAGAGGAAGAAAAATATAATTCAAATTTGCAGAAGTAAGATTTCCACAAAAAATGTTTGAAGTTGTCTTCCAATTGCACAATTTTTTATTTTCTTTTTAGTACGAATTTGCCCTCGAAAATGCAGTAGTATGACTAAATACTTGGCAGTTCAACCTCGCCTCAAGGTTTTAATACCTGGCTAATCACTACTTCTGGTTAGTCTCAAATCAGTCAATTTTTTGTCAGATCGTAACCCTACTGGCAACTCCACCCCTGCAGTTCATCGATGGCGAAGAATTTCTTCAAATATTATGTTTTGTCATACTATATGTATTGAAGATTATAACCACAAACTGACACAAACACAGTTTTTAATCCGACGTCCGTGTCAATGGCTCATGATCCACCTAAATTTGCAAGGGAATTTTTACGTAAACTCCTGTTTGCCGAGATTTAGTTTTCTTGGTAAATGAAATTCAAATCACTTTTGCCATGGTAACTGAAGGGCTCAGTCCTCTTACGTCATTGATTGCCCTGGATGGCTCTTTCATAAGTATTGTACTGCACGTTAATAACCTTTACTATTGTACCACACGTTAATAACAAATAAGTTCAAAAATGTACACTCTGTTACTAGTACTGATAGTGTAAAGATTTTATGTTTTTATCTTTTATCTACAATCATTGACAAAAAATGTTCGGGAAACTTGACAATCATTGTCAAAAATTCAAGGATTCCAAATTAAGATTCATAAATAGCCAAATACTGTATAGCCCCCACACCAAGCAATGCTGCTGTAACATGTTTTCATTGAGAACGTATCGCAATGTCTATTTATGATGATACAATACCATAACACAACATTGTAAGGGGGGCGCGGGGGTTAAGAGGGTGCCAGGAGCCCTACTGCCCGAAGGGTTTTGTCAACGATTGTAGAATGCATCTATTTTGTTGTATAGAATGTATAAAAATGAAGTCATTACCTTTGGTGCTGTTTTTGTTGCTACCTTATTAACCATCCATTTTGGAATTGAACCTGGAACATTTTAATTTTATTTATTTAATTTTGAAATGGTGCGTTAATTATATGGCGACGTTTTGGTCTTCAATTAAATTAACTTTATTATTTTAAGAGGGTAAACACTTTGATTATAGTCCAGCCTCCTGCTCAAAATTTTCCAGGTAAAGATTTAGACGAGTGATCTACTATTGATCTATTGATCACATAAAATAGAACTTAATTAGCCTTTATCACGCCGCCATTTTTGGGGTACTTTTTTGCCAATCCTGCGAGCGTAACACCACGTAACGGCGACATTTTATAATTTTGTGGGTGTATGATGGTAAATGTACTCTGTAAATAGTTAGTTTGTTCTGAAATATTGCTTTCCACATTGTTATAATCGTGTACGAAAAATTACAGTACCCCAAAAATGGCGGTGTGAGAAAGGCTAATTGATTGTTTATTATCAAATTACATGTATTTACATTAACACGTATCACGGTTTGTTTGTAAAGGTTTAATCGTCCGTTAACAAATTGAAAGGAATTTCGTTCTAACGCATGTGGTGGTTTTGGACAAGAGTATTATAAAGTATAAAAAAACAGTACAATGCCATATTACTTGTATCCAGGCCTCTGGTTGCAGGCACCGAGTCTTAAAATGCCAAGATGGTTTGGGTTAGTTTTCCTTTCTGGTGTTCTCAAACGTGACATTCCACAGGTCACCCGTCCAACCAACGTAACTTTCTTGCTGTGTTGTGTACATGTACCGTAAACATCCGCCTATAAGCCCCCCCCCCCCGAATATAAGCCCCCCAAATAAGCCCCCGTGTATAAGCCCACCACATGTACTAACGCTCACCTCATTCCAAATATAAGCCCCCGTGTATAAGCCCACCACATGTACTAACGCTCACCCTCATTCCAAATATGCCCCCGAACATAAGCCCACCCGAATATAAGCCCCCCGAATACAAGTCCCCCAATTAATATAAGCCCAGTAATCGCTGCTGAATACACGTTTATTTCCCTGTTTATGACTGACTTGTTTATGTCTGACTTGTTTATTACTAACACAAAAGATCGTCCATGTATAAGCCCACCCGTATATAAGTCCCCCCCCCCTTGTATAAGCCCATCAAAAATCGCTTACGAAAGTATATAAGCCCAGGGCTTATAGTCGAAGGTTTACAGTATATGGTTATTTTTTACTTCTTTGTTAAAATACAAGTTTTGCAATTTGATGAAATAATTGCTTGAAAGTCTTTAATTTGTTGAATTGATTTTGTTCATGTCTTACAAACTGTTGTTTAACGCAACTATATCGTCACTTTTTACTGATTTCCAACGCCTTCTTTTCAGCTATTTAGTCCTTGATATTTCCCGATACATAAACCCTTGAATTCTACTCTTCCTGACATGTAGAAACCGTGATACGAGATGATAACCGATTATCTCTATGTGATATAACCGTGTTAGACTGTTAGTATAACTACAGTATATACTGTATGCGTCGCTCAAAACGCATCGAGATATTTTCAGTATTAATATTACAGAGCTTTATTTATTATAAGTAATAGCATGGCTTGAGGGAGATTAGTGATTAAATGGCCCCGTAACCCGAGGCAGGTTTGCGGAATCCCTGAGGGCGAAGTCCGAGGGAATTCCGCAAACCTGCCGAGGGTAAGGGGTCATTTAATCACTAATCTCCCGATATAGTTTGTAATAGCATAGTTGCGCTCCCATTTAAAAATGGACAAACATGCCCTACTTGGAATCAGCGTATTTAAGCTAAAACATTTGCTTCATTGCTTGTGGGATGTAAAAGCTTGTTGCACATGCGCACTTTTTACGCTTTAATCGGTTACGCATGCGCAATCTATCATTTAACGTACCACAACAAAAATGCTAAATATATTAGTATAAAATTGGAGACTGCACGTGCGTAATTTAAATGATGCGGCAACTCAGGGATCGGATGATAGACTATTGACGGCTCTGAGCAGCCTAGACCTAGGCCTTCTAGTCTTATTTAAAAATAGTATTCAGCGGTTTTTCACATGAAAAGACTGGGACTAGGTGATTGGGGGGCGGGGCGGAGGAAGCAAGCCTAGAAGGCCTAGTTGATTTCCCAACAACAAGGCAAAAACTGCCCTGAATTACCTGAAACTGCCCTGGTTGCGAAATGCCCAATTATTGCACGGGCAATAGGACAGGTGTAGTGTTGTTAAATAGAAAGTTAGAAATGGTATTGTACTCACTCATGTATTATAATTATGTTTAAAAGATCAGAATATTCATAACTTCTTATTTTGTTTCATAAATAGTTCTTTAATATTCGAAACAAATTCCATATCTGCTTCGTCTGCCATCGCCATGTTTACTCGTCCCAATCTACATGCTGCACGGCATTGCCGCCCCTCCTGGCAAAATAATAAGCAAGCGAGAAAAATTAAGGAGAAAATAAGAGGGTAGGAACATCGTTGTCATAAGCTGGATGCAGTGACACTTCCATATATGGCACAAACGTATCCATAACTTCCATATATGGCACAAACGTATCCACGACGCGTTTTATAACGTTTTATTTGACGTAGGGATGACGTGTAATGCTGCTTCCCGCCTATGACGATTTGAATTAGTCATGTGATACAAGATTGAGAAAGCTGATTCGCCCAGAGCGATGAAACGCCCACGAAACGCCCACAGTGTTCCTACCCTCTTATTTTCTCCTTAATTTTTCTCCCTTGCTTATTATTTTGCCAGGAGGGGCGGCAATGCCGTGCAGCATGTAGATTGGGACGAGTAAACATGGCGATGGCAGACGAAGCAGATATGGAATTTGTTTCGAATATTAAATTAAAGAACTATTTATGAAACAAAATAAGAAGTTATGAATATTCTGATCTTTTAAACATAATTATAATACATGAGTAAGTACAATACCATTTCTAACTTTCTATTTAACAACACTACACCTGTCCTATTGCCCGTGATTATTGCGTTCTCAAACAGAATTATTTGCAACTTAACGGCGAATTTAAACCGATAGGCGATACAGGTAAAATAAACTCATTTATAGTATAAACTTACTATTTTTATTTGTATACACGTCTAGAAAATCGGTTTTTTATCATAAAGTTCGAAGCAACACTATTATTTAATATGTTGACAAGGTGTAGCGAAAGAACAAAATGAGTCAAAATATATACCAAAAGTAGAATCTTTCATGAAATTTTGTCTTATACACAAGTACATTAATATATATTTTCTCAATTTTGGCACGAAGCAGTCTTGTGTTTGTAAAATATACAAAATAAAACGGATACATATATTATTAGCCCGTACAGTACTGTATATAAAAACGTACATTGTTTATACAAATGGTATATCTGTAATATTTGAACACTAATTTCAAATTCCTCATTCCCAATTCGCAAATATAGTTATTCAAAGCAAAACAGTAGATTGTCTTGCGAATAAAAGAATTATTATTTTGTGCCGTTTCGCTACACCTTGTCAACATATATAAATAGTGTTGTTTCAAACTTTATGATAAAAACCCCGATTTTCTAGACGTGTATACAAATAAAAATAGTAAGTTTATACTATAAATGAGTTTATTTTACCTGTATCGGTTTAAATTCGCTGTTAAGTTGCAAATAATTCTGTTCGAGAACGCAACAATTGGGCATTTCGCAATCAGGGCAGTTTCAGGGCAGTTTTGGCCTTGTTGTTGGGAAATCCACTAGGCCTTCTATATTTTCGCTTGCGTCAGGCTTGTGTCCTTCCACCGCCCCGCCCCCAAATTACCTAGTCCCAGTCTTTTCATGTGAAAAAGCGCTGAATATTAAAAAAATATAAATAAAAATAGAAGGCCTAGGTCTAGACTGGGCTCTGAGCTAACTGTTGCTGTTCCTTGCACGATTATGTGCGTGAGGCACTTGCCAAATGCGTAGTCGTCAGGGAGACAAAGGTGTGACCCTTGGTAACGGGTGATTAGTTCTAATCGCCCGCTCTAGCGGGCGATTAGAACTAATCGCCCGCTACAGCGGGCGATTAGTTAGTAATCGACCCTGTTGAAACAAAAGAAACCCGGGCAACTATGCTATTACATGATTAATTACACGTATTGCTAAGCATATATTATAATGCCAATGGTGATGAATCATAACTAGGAATACGGTGAGATGCTATTTAACAATTAGTCACCGAAGGCGAGGTGATTACAAGCCTATATTCACTGAGCTGCGAAGCAGCGAAGTGAATATATTCTTGTGATAACCGACCCTGAGGTGACTAATTGTTTTAGTATAAATTCAGTATTGAAAAATAATAATACATACAAACGTTATAAATATAATTTTCTTCACTCTCCCACTTTTAGGTCAAACGAATCCAGCTGTCGGAATTCTGTTATTTTCCGGTTTTAAATTGCCAAATAAATTGTTTTAGGCATCTAAAAGGTGCTTTCGTCTTTCGGAAATAGTTTAACACCATGCATATATTGTCAGTTGCTTCTTTTGTTTTTAGAGGAATAGCATGTGCCTTTAATTTCTTCAATTTTTTCTTCGATGATTTGTTTGCAAGTAGATTTTCGGCAGCCATTTTGTTTTGAAAGCAATAGTTATACTGCTCTGAGCAGTAACTATTGCTTCAGAGTTACTGCTGAGGGAGCCAATCAGAACACTTGAAAGCCATTTCAGTTTCAATACTGAATTTATACTAATTACAATTAGAAGAGAAGTATAGACCAAGTGTCTCATAATAGAGTTTCATCCCTCAACCATCTTCTCAAATATTAATGTCTGCCTACAGTGGAATCACTCAAAGATATTGTCGATACTATTGTTGCCTACCTTTAGGGTCCATTTGTGTAACATATATAAAATGACATCCACGTGTCCCATTAGTTTTTCCCATATATCCAGACATTAATGATGTAGCTCTTATATATTCTCTCCTAATAGGTGCATTCTACAAAAATTTTAAAAACAAGTACATTTGTACATTCCTTTTTAAGGTGGCTCCATACAGTTTCTTGAAAAGTGGAAAAGACACATTTCCGACCAACAAACTTTGTACATTGATATTTTTATAGAAGAATAAAACCAGATGTCTTGTATAGAACAGTATTTTGAGAATCAGAAACTGTAACGGAAAAGTCCGTAACTGTGGTTACTATGGCAACAGTGACGTTTCAAAATGGCTGCTAATTTGTATTTAAACTAGTTTAATACGAAAACAACGTTAGTGACCCCCAATTTTTATTTTATTAAAAGTTTTCTTCTAGTATGAGCAATCATTAGGACAATTTTTAAAAAATTCTGTAGATCCAAATTTTTTTGTCAGGAATAAACACGTTTTTTCGGTTTAAAACATTTTGGGTCTACAGAATTTTTTTTTAAATTGTCCTAATGGTTGCTCGTACTAGAAAAAACTTTTAATAAAATAAAAGTTGGGGGTCACCGACGTTATTTTCGAATTAACGTAGTTTAAATGCAAATTAGCAGCCATTTTGAAACCACAGTTACGGACTTTTCCGTTACAGTTTCTGATTCTCAAAATACTGTTCCATGCAAAGCATCTGGTTTCATTCTTCTATAAAAATATAAATGTACAAAATTTTTTGGTCTGAAATGAGTCTTTCCCAGCCTAGACCTAGGCCTTCTAGTCTTATTTATATTTTTTTTAATATTCAGCGCTTTTTCACATGAAAAGACTGGGACTAGGTGATTTGGGGGCGGGGCGGAGGAAGCAAGCCTAGAAGGCCTAGTGGATTTCCCAACAACAAGGCCAAAACCGTACCCAGAACCCTTCTTACGCGCGTTCGACCGAGCCCGACGAGGGGCTCTGGCCAAATCCATAACCGGATACCATGAAAACATGGTATCCGGTTAAACACTGCGCATGCTCAAAGTCAAACGCGGATAAACACTTCGGTTTTCTTGTTTGTTTCGTTTTGAAAGTTTTTCTCCAGGAAAACCCCACAAAAGCGGTAGGTTTCGCTAATTTTATTTATTTAAATCAATTAGTAGGTAAGACGTGATGTGTTCTCAATGCATGTTGATAAAAATTTAGTATATATTTCCCTCTTAAACGTTGCCAAAGCAGTATAAATGGCTACGGATACGAAGACGAGACTCACGAGAGATTGTCTCACTATTTTATATTCGATTTTAAGTCGCTGTTGTACAGATTTTTAGACTTTTTTGTGTTTTATTAAAAGTCAACAGTCATACATAAGACATACTATATTGCAAATCATTTGAAAATTGTAAAAAATCGGTTTCTAGGAAGAAAATAGTCATCACAATTAACTTCATATTCTGGCTGGCTTTAATATTTTCTCTTCAGATGGCACGTCAGCTTTGAACATGTAACACAGATTTGTTTGATAAACATCACTGATTTGGAAATACGACGAGCATCTGCCATAAAATATGCTGACTTTTTGCTATGAGAACATCACGTCTCAACCTATTAATTTCAATCAACTAATTGATTTAAATAAATAAAATTAGCGACATCTACCGCTTTTGTGGGCGATTATCAACAACAATCTTCCTAACTGCTTCGTACTGCTGTTCTTTCAACTTTAATAATGTCTTTTCTCCCAATTTTACTGTATCCAAAACTAAACCAACGCTTCATGGAGCGCTTGATTTTTATTCATATTTTATACATTAAACCATATATTTAGTTGTGGCCAATCAGAAGCCAGTTTGATATGGATTTGGCCAGAGCCCCTCGTCGGGCTCGGTCGAACGCGCGTAAGAAGGGCTCTGGGTACGAGAATGGGCCAAAACTGCCCTGAAACTGCCCTGGTTGCGAAATGCCCAATTATTGCGTTCTCAAACAGAATTATTTGCAACTTAACGGCGAATTTAAACCGATACAGGTAAAATAAACTCATTTATAGTATAAACTTACTATTTTTATTTGTATACACGTCTAGAAAATCGGGTTTTTTATCATAAAGTTCGAAGCAACACTATTATTTAATATGTTGACAAGGTGTAGCGAAAGCACAAAATGAGTCATAATATATACCAAAAGCTAGTAGAATCTTTCATGAAATTTTGTCTTATACACAACTACATTGATATATATTTTCTCAATTTTGGCAAGAAGCAGTCTTGTGTTTGTAAAATATACAAACACATATACAATTATAATTTATTAAATAAAACGGATACATATATTATTAGCCCGTACAGTACTGTATATAAAAACGTACATTGTTTACAAATGGTATATCCGTAATATTTGAACAATAATTTCAAAATCCTCATTCCCAATTCGCAAATATAGTTATTCAAAGCAAAACAGTAGATTATCTTGCGAATAAAAGAATCATTATTTTGTGCTTTCGCTTCACCTTGTCAACATAATAATAGTGTTGCTTCAAACTTTATGATAAAAACCCGATTTTCTAGACGTGTATACAAATAAAAATAGTAAGTTAATACTATAAATGAGTTTATTTTACCTGTATCGGTTTAAATTCGCTGTTAAGTTGCAAATAATTCTGTTTGAGAACGCAATAATTGGGCATTTCGCAAGCAGGGCAGTTTCAGGGCAGTTTTGGCCTTGTTGTTGGGAAATCCACTAAGCCTTCTATTTTTTCGCTTGCGTCAGGCTTCAATCTCGTTCCCCGAGCCTGCGATCCTCGGGAAGGAACGCGAGGCTCTGGGATAATCCGTTTCAGGGAGGAATCTGATTGGCCATTGAAATGGAATGCGTAGTTCAATCTTAGCCAGGATTCTTGGCTTCCGGTAACGGATTATCCCAGAGCCTTCGATTCCTTCCCGAGGATCGCAGGCTCGGGGAACGAGATTGGTCAGGCTTGTGTCCTTCCTCCGCCCCGCCCCGAAATCACCTAGTCCCAGTCTTTTCATGTGAAAAAGCGCTGAATATTAAAAAAATATAAATAAAAATAGAAGGCCTAGGTCTAGACTGAGTCTTTCCCACTTTGAAGAAACTGTATGGAGCCACCTTACATTACATATTACATCACCTAATTCTCTTTTAACTATGCGATCTAGAAAAATATTTCTCTTGGCAGCAAAATCCACAAATAAATCCAAAAATTTCACATTCGACACAAAAATAAATAATTATAGTATAATTGTATTATATGTTTTCATTTCAATTACTCCATGAGTGGGATCCCAACTTTGGAGCCTTTTATCTTGTGATGTTAACGTCACCAATTAACAAGAAATAAAGCTAAACTAAGCCTTTTTACCAACCCACCCGAAAATTTAAAGTAGCAATTAAAACATTAGCTGATTAGCCTGCTCACAGACTGAATTTAGCCCGAAATGAAATTACGGGCTGCGAGCGGGCCATACAAAACGGTGTAGGTACGTGTTCAGGCCAGTGAACTCTAATAAGACTGGAACGATAACTCAGGTAAACATGCCCATACTTGCCTGAAGCCAACCGTGCATGGAAATTGCACTTTTAAAAGGACTAAGGAGAGTTTCGAGGAGTGGGAAATTCAGTCAAAGTTTTATATTTTCGACGAAAATGAGCAAGAAAAGTCGTTTTTCATCAAAAGACTTCAATTAAAAAAAAAACAAATACGATTTATTTGATAGTTAGAACTGCTTTGCATCTCACAACAGCGAAAGTTTGAAGGGTATTAGGTTTGTTTTCATAAAAACGACACTAGTTGAACGTGCCGAAGTGAACCGGCTTTGCTCTTTAACTAAAAAAAAAATACTTTGAAACATAAATCTACGGACCAATACCTTTTTTGTATTAAAGTCTAGGTATAGTTGTTTATTTCGAATGCTTTTTGACATCTCTAAAACGTGAATAAATCGTTTTTCCGTAGAAACCCCCGTGATTTGCGATTTGTGATTTGGCGCCCGGGAGAAGTTCGCGCGCTGTGACTTTCAAAAAAGAACTGGAGAGAGTTCAATTTCCTCGTAATTTTGTTTTTTTTTAGCAAAAATACGCCGAAAAATTAGGTTTTTCGTCCGAAGATTTCAATTTCAAAGATTCAAACTTGGTTTTCTGGATAGTTCTAAGTATTCAACATCCACTAACAGCAAAATCTCGAAGGGAACCATTTCTGTATTCAAGAAAATAACAAAATATTTTCCGTGCCGAACAAAATACGACTTTCAGGTACACAAAAAATAACGTTAAGTCTTTTCTACGGCTTCCAAACATGATTTGTGCAATAGTCCAAGTATCGTAGATGTTTTTAAGTTTTTCATCTATGTTCTAGCATAGCTAGAAAGGCAGAAATCCGAGTTTTTCGAAGAGGTGTATTTTCGCCGCCGTACCTCCAATGGCGGCCTTCAATTTGGCTTCAAAGATGGCGGCCGAGTTATCGTTCCAGTCTTATTAGAGTTCACTGGTTCAGGCTAAGCTAAGCTAAGACAACGTATCTTTTTTTTTATAAGATTTATAAAATATTTATTAAATTAACAAGTTTTAACATAATATTTACAAAATTAACTTTCTTTTTTTTAACTGTTAAATGTCCAAAAGTTTTGAATTTTTATTAAGATTGTTAGTATGTTGTCAGCTTGGTTGTAGCTGAGGCAATTTCAATGTTCCCAGCGTCAAAAGTTTGTTTCTTCCTCAATGAGCGTGATCCTCGAACACATAATATCGCCGAGCGAAGTAGAGCGAAGGATATCTTTGAGCGGAGCCAGTTCGTTGTTATACTGACAGCAAGTTTGCGCTTTTCAGCAATTGAAGATGCCAGTACAGAGATAAATCTTTCTGTCTCTCTGCTACTTCCACCATAAGGTGTAAAGACCAAGGGTGTGAACGAACCATGTTCTATGTTCACAATTCTTTCGGCGTAGGCGCGTTTCTTCTCACGTTCATTGGCGGAAAAAGCAGTTGATAACTTCTGGTGTCTGTAGCTAGGAGCGAAAGGATTAAACGCCCGTACATCGAAGAATGCTCGTTGACCACGTTGCCAGAAGCCACCAATACTGATATCCAGTCTTGCTTCATCTTTCCCGTTTGCTGTTGCATGGAGTTGCTCACCAGTGAGAGGGAGAAGGTTTGGTTCGATCTCCACGTCGTTAGAAATCTCGGTAGCCGTCTGCCCAAAAAGATCGCGGATTTCGTCGTGGCGTTGATGTACGAAGCCGCCTTTGAGAAAGGACAATGCATGATCTACCGAGAACCGTTTCCCGCAAGCACAAGTAGTTGGAATAAACTTGAGCGGCCACCTGTATCTCGTGCGAATAGCGTCGTAGAATTCTCGTTTGTTGAGGACGTAGTTTTCTTCCCTTATTGGCAGTGAAGTTAACCAGTTTGACGCTCCTTTCATTTGGGCAATCTCATTTGCACGTTTCTGGTCCCCGTTCATCCTTTCTTGTAACCCCGCGAGTGTCTGTTCATGCTCCAGATTTCTCGATCTTTTGATGTCATTCTTTGTTGAGTGATGAGCTGTGTTGTCAAAGGAGTACTCCACAGTCTGAGATTTGATGTTCTCGGTCAGTTGTTGACTAGCTTTCTTGGAGTATTCGTATTCTCTCTCGGCGATCTGGGAGAAGATGGGAATAGCAAGACAACCAAAACGAGCAGGAAGACTAAGGAGTTTGTGTTCGTCTTGGGAGCGGTGATGACCTTCAGTTATGGCAGGAATGAAACAATGGTTTAGGATTTCATCGAATGGCTGCAGTAATGGACCAAGGTTAGGAAGAGTGTACATGTAGTAGGTCAGTTTATGTTGAAAACCAGAAACAAATGCTGCATACGCTGCCTGTGGTTCCGACTGCGCGATCTTTGACAACATCATCAGCTGCTCACACCATTTCTTGACAAGTTCTTTCGCATAGTTTTCTCTCGATTCCTTACTTCCAACAAAACCACCAAGATATGCACGTCCTTCAGATGTGATATTAATATCAGTGTCCGCGAATATCTCTCTCGCAGCATCAACTCTGTCCTCTTTCACAACTAACCAAGACTTAGAGGCTTTCGGGTACTAGTATCCCAAGAGAGGACCAAAGTGAACAACTTGATTCCACCACGTTCGCAAACACCCAAGGACTCCTGCACCACCGAGATCATCAGCATACGCTGCGTGCTTCACTTTCTCATCACTCGCAGTGCTAACATCATCTTCTCGAACGTGTATCATCTGCAGTAATGGTGCGATTCCAACTGTATACGCTGGATTGCCATTGGATCTCCCTGAGTTGTTCCCTCTTGCGATAAGATTTCTTTGCCACCCATTACAAATAATCGTGACGGTGAGCCATAACAGTTTTTAACATACGTTGCCATAGGAGGACAAAGATAGCGAATGTTATGGAGAAGCACCTGGCGATTAAGAGAATTGAAGGCGTTAGACGCATCAACGAGTAGAATGGCATCAGTTTCCTCTTCTTGGAAAATCTCCTCCATGGCATGGGCTGCTGCCTCACATCCCGATGGTAAACCAGCTGCAAGTTGAAGTGATCCAGTACTCATTAAAATATCAGGTTTGATGACAGAGATGATCGACTTTCCAATTATGCGTCTGATCACTTCGCCAATACCAATGGGCCTCACCCCCGGGCATTTGTCAAGAGGTATCAAACGACATGCTACGTAAACTTCTATTGAAGATTGATGGTCAGAATCAGCTTTCAGTTCTTTCGTACAGAGAATACGGGCCATCTCAGCAAGATTTGAGCGAAGTTCAGTCCCTGCAGTGCCAAAGTTTTTGGATACGAGTATTCTTCGCCAACCGTCAGCATCTAATCCTGAAGGGCCTGCGGCACCTTTTGTATGTAGAGCTGCTCTGGCTATCGTCGACTCATCGATGATTGAAAACATGGCTGGATCAACAAATGGTACATGTCCTGTGATTAACATTTCTTTATCTGCTTCCATAGCTTCAGGATGTTTTGCTTTCAGTTCTCGTAATGTATCCTCTGATAACTGAAGAACGCCCGACGTTGAAGTGTCATCCACTAATCTCATGGCAGTTGACTTTACCAGAAAGCATTAAGTTAGCAAACGTACGAGAGACGTGTTCAGGCGATCTTGGCTTCCAAGTTGATTGGAGTCGAGATTGAATTGCTCTGCACTCTTTTAACAAACCATTAAAATCTCCCAATTTCCACAAATTCAACCGTCTTTGTACTGTAAGCACTCACTATGTTGCTTACATTTAGATTTAAATGATGGTTTCTGAAGGAGTAAAGCAGGCATCACCATCACAGCTTTCAGGGCAACATCTTTCACTTCCATTGAATCTGAGTTCCACATGTTGATAAGACTAGTAGTTTCTGCAATGAACTTTTTTCCAGCTCCACCAGTAGGCAGCTTGAAAACATTCTTTCGCCAAAGTACAATTTCTTCATAGGTTGCGTTGAAAATCTGGTGTAAATCTTCTTTTGTATGAAGACCCCATACTGTGGGAATATTTGCTTCAGGCGAGGGCGTGTTATCGGTGGTATTTTCAAATTCTATTTCGTTAGAAACAATGACGAAACTCTCTGGTTGACCACTGCAGGAAGATACGAGTGCAGCTACACTTGACGATTTTTGCTTTTTCAGACCATGGATAATAAAATAAATGGATTGGAAACTTCTGACGTCATTGACTGCATCCTTGTTGAAAAACGTGACGTCACGCGTATTGCGAATGTTACCAAAGTTCTCGGCATATTTGTTGTTTTGCTGTATTTTCCACTTTAAAAGGGTGATCTTGAAGCGTAAACTGGTCTAATTGTTTTAAAAACATGCCTAAACCACGACAAAGTATTCAAGGTAAATGTTTTTCGTCTTTGTTTTGTATTTTTTTACAATTGTAGCTACGAAATTGGCGTCACAAATTTTAACGAAATTTGCGATGTATTTTTCACTGTTTAGTGCTTGAAATATTTGCTAAAATTGACTGGGAATACTTAGAGTTTTCATCGTAGAATGGCGTGGTTACATTTATTTGCTCGTTGACTAAAATGTTTAGCTGTATTATTACTAAACATGCCGTTTTTGAGAATTTGATTTTCAACTAGGTTGAGGCATTCAACCACGCCATCAATCCCAGTAAAAACATTAGGTCACGTCAGCTAGTTTCCTATCCATTTATTTTATTATCCATGTTCAGACAATGATTCAGGTGCGCAGATCTGCCTCTTTGGGTTTGAAACAATCGCTTGCACAAGTTACACTGAAATCCATCAGCAAAGTTTAACGTTTTAATTTCCGTTGACATTTCCTGTATAGTACTGAGTTAAGCAATTGATTTAAAAAAGCTATTTAGCTAAAATCAACTGTCTCTTCAATTCCAAACAAGTCCAGCCCAGGATATAACGATTGTGTCCTTCTTCGACTTATAATTAGTTATTGTTCTAATTTAATTCTGATTAATTGACCGTTATGGCGCACGTGATGACGTGACGTTCGTTCGTTGATCACCGTCCTACGAGCGCGCGCGCTCGTAATAATTTGTTTTGCAAGTAATTTAAATTTCCACTAACCAAGATTTGATGCCACAAAAACAAGGATTTGCCAAACCAAATTCACCAAATACTTTAAACGTTGTTGAGAACAAATTCCTTATCTAACGATTTCCACAATCAGGCAGACCAAAGTATAGCAAAAACAAATCTATTCGGCTTTTAAATTTTACGGAGCAAAGAATTAAAATGACCATACACGCTCCGACAACGTATCTTACTTTCTGGAAGGGTGCGTATTACGTAAAACATATTTTGAAGCACACAAAAATAAATAATATACACATTTGTATTGATGGATGTATATACAAACCTTATGTTGTACAGAATGATTGCAGATCATGAAATTATTATGATTTTTTGTCCAGTAACGTTGAAACACAAAGTCGCGATTTCTTAATGGCTTTGGACATTTTACTATAAAAAAGGATTTCGAACAAAATTTATATCTTGAAAACTTTAGAATTTAGAATTTTTTTGCAAATTCTAAATGCTCAAAGACTTTTATGTTACATTGATGGAGAAATGAAAAAAATATAGTACTGTGCAGAAGTTTTAGATCACCCCAAAATAGTCACTTTCTGGCCATCTTTAATTTTTGTGTAAATCACTTTTTTGTCTGATTTCTCGCATTATCAAATATGTCGTGGATATATGCTTTCTCAATTACTTCGTTAAGATGTTCAATGGAGTAAAGTCATCGTTTTCTTATGTCCTTTCCATTCAAACCAGGTAAAGTTGTTGCTTTACAATGATGTTTGAGCCGTCTAAGGTGACCTAAAACTTTTGCACAGTACTGTATGATTAGGTTGCCACTTGTGGGAGAAATTTCCCAATTTAGCCAAGCATGTGCATTGCTGTACTACTCCACATCTTTACAAACTTCATAATTATGTACCTGCATAATAACCCACATCACAATTAGGGTCTAATCGACATAAACCATATTCTTCAATCATCATATTATCCCATATTCGTCTATATTCTGAGTCATGTAAGGTGTCGTACAGCACATCCAATGGTACATCATCAAAATGTGTTTCAATCTAGAAAGTGTCAATTAAAAGACTTATATCTATATATGGATAGACCTCTAGTCACATTACTTCAACTGAATCTTTCTCAAGGTCAAGACAGCGACGAAAAAAGGCCTACTCTGCAGGGGCGGATCTACCGTGGGGGTGCAGGGGGCACCCAACATAGTAAGTAAGTAAAAACTTTATTTGACTACGCTAACCCCTACAGCAAAAGCTGATTTCCAAGAGGGGCGTAGATTTAAAAAAATTTCAAATATTACAATCAGTTACAATACAAATATATAAATACTAGACTGACAGTTACAATTACAAATTCAATTACAATTACAATTACAATTACACTTACTATCATTACATCTACAATAATTTATTAAAATTCACAAATTTAACTTTATCTAACTGGCCACTTGAGTTAAATTGACTAAGAGATTGTTTATTTCTTAGTTCGTCTGGGAGGCTATTCCACAATTTTGCTACTCTATAACTAAGACTTTTTTTAAGATATTCAGTCTTAGGTTTGGGCAGATAGAGGTTTGCGGTAGAGCCTCGTAAATTATAATGCTGAGATGAAGACGTCTTTTGAAAAATATCGATTAGTTGTTTGGGCGCTAGATCATGAGTTATTTTATACATGAGACTTGCCGCAAATTGAATTCTGTGTTCTTTCAAAGTATTCCAATTTAGTTCATTTAAAGCAAGTTCAGATTGACCGTGTTCATTTTTACGTCCCGTAATGTATAGTGGTTTCTATAGCGCCCCTTATAGAAGTTCAGCACCACCCTAAGAAAATTGCTTGACCGTATATTTTCTGCTTTTCGAATAGCGATTAGCGGAGCTTCTACTGTTACCGCATGTCGATTTCTTGAAACGATTTACTTGCTTTCTGAGCTCACGAGAAAATCCTCAGATTCAATTATGAAACGACAAGCCACACTTTATACGAACTCTAATTTCGTAAGAAAACGAGAGGTAAGTAATTACAATTATAATTTGAATTTAATTTTGAAATTCACAGTACGTGAATGTGTACCATACGTCATATGGGTATTTTATCCAAGTGATTCTGAGTTTCTAATTCTTAAATAGTTAAATATCACGGTTACAACATGATCATGCGCAACTGTGAGAGTAGTTGGCACAATCATCATGGTAATATGTTGGGATAGTAGCGTTGCAGACTTGAGAGTAAGCAGAGAGTAAGTAGTAAGACTTCCTCATACACCATCCCATGGAAAACCTGCACCTCTCCTTGCAGATAAGGCCAGATCCGCCCCTGCTACTCAGGGATCTTAACTAGCCTTAAATCGCGCTATATCACCCAAAATTGCATTGCTTAAAAGTTGCGGATTTTGCTTAATCACCGCCTAAACTCGCATTATCTCGCGGCGAGTGTAGGTGCGTTACCTACATGCCTGCGTCGAAAGTTCAAGTCATTAGAACAATATGCGGCTATTCCCCCACCATGTTTAGAGATACGGTCTTTGCGAAGCAAGGTATATCCTGGGATATTAAAGTGCCTATGACACGAAATTTCACCCCAAAGGTTTATGGTTGCATTGTAAAGATCACTTAAAATGACTTAATAATTTCTTTTATAGAATTTTGGTAACTTGCTCCCTTTTCAAGATATTCAACTTTGTTTCATATGCAAATATCACCGGTGTGACATCACATCACATAATGAGTTTTCAAAAAAGTATAGTTTTCTTGACGAATACGTATCTAAAAAACTTAAAAATTGCCCTTGTATATGTATTAATTTCATAACTGGTAACTAACCCTCTGTATTTGTTTGTAAAAATAATTTATCAAGGTAAAATATTGCGTTTTCAAAATGTCATTATGCGATGTGATACACCAAGCCAGCGTGTTCTACAAGGCCTAGCTAGAGCATTACTGTTGGAATAAAGCATTACGGCATCACCCATTAAATAGAGCATCGCGGCTTCCCAATTCCGCTCTCCTTACCACCAAATTCATTTCAAGTTTGAAGTCAATTGTTTATCAATTAAATCACGCACAGCTTAAGCCTTAACTTACTAATGTAATAGTACTGTTTGTGTTTTATTTTGTTATTGTTGTTGTATTCGTTATTGTTTGTGTCTTTTAAATAGCAGCATATTTTTTCTGCAGCATAATATGTACATAATGATATATGTTAACTAGTTAAATCCTCCTGGTGTAGTGTAATACTGTTTTTAGGAGTAATTCATTAAAAAGTTAAAGCAAATAAAGGCCAGAGCACGAGATAAATATTCCACGATGGTAGAGTATGTCTTTTAAAGTATTCCCAATCAGATGTTGGCCACAAGTTGGTTTTTAAGTCACTACATTTTATAAACACAGGTGCACATGAAGTTGTCAGTTCGTTGTTAGAGTTCAACCTTCGTTTGATTCGACCTCGTACCCAGGGTAATTAAGCCTGTGATTAAGCTGACCATGAAGGTACGAATGATAGTCAGAGTATTATAACAGGTTACATAAGGGAAAAATAATAAGGTCAAAGTTGAGATAATATTCAGAGTATAATGAATGTTTAGTAGGGTACATTAGGGTGCAATGCCAGTTAAAGGGTTAAATGATAAGATTTTTCCTACACACGAAACCTTCATGATGGATAGGGATGCAACTACCTGAAAAATACAAGGAGAACTGCTTGAATTTCTGCTTCTATTCTTCAGGTAGTTGCATCCCTATGCTTTCTTATAATTATTGGCACAGATCGTTCAAGATTTCTCTACACAAAGACATTACTAACAACAAGTGATACATATAAGTCATGAATATTTACTGCATTGTCAAACTGTCATTGATGGAGTGTCCCTGTTTTCAGAGGTTCTTACAGAATGCAAAAGACCAGCTAGGCAAAACAAAAGCATCTGGTCATATAGAATGCAAATCTCACTTCTATACTTAATTAGGTTTAGAAGCTGAACCTCACATTTGATCAGTAAAACATTCAGTTAAACCAGTTTGGGAAATTACTTAACATGTATAATACCTATAGTAATTATAGCCTGTAAGTGTTCACAATAAGGCATTTAATATTTCTGCGACATTACTGCATCAAGGTACTAATGATTAGCTATTGTATATGTTTATTTTCTAAACCGGGTTGACATGGTTTACAAATTGCCAATCACATGCAAAGTTCAGATTTTAAACCTAATCAAGTATGGAAGTGAGATTAGCATTCGATTTGACAAAAGGCTCCTCCATCTTCATGTTTCTTAAATTGTCTCACTGTTATTGTGCCTTGTCATTCTTTAAGAGCCTATGGATCAGGGTAACAAACTCTAATATATTCACATCAACTCTTTGTCAAGTGGGATTTACCAAATTTGTGCAGCCTGTACTCATGGGCGTACCGGAAGGAAAAAATTAGGGGGGCGGAAAGAAAATTGCCCGACTTTTTGGGATTCTGCCCGACTAGTACCAAAAAATTTTTTCCGGAA